CTCCACACTTACCCCAGGCGAGGAAAGGTCCCGCCCCAACGAGGCGCCTCCGTCCGAGCTGCCGGCGGGCTCCGGAGCCGCCCCGGGAAGCGCGCGGCGTGGGGAGGGGAGGGAAGGGGAAGCGGGGCGGGAAGAAGAGCCACGCAGAAGCGCAGCCGCCGCTACCGCTAGGCCGAGCGGCAGCCCAAGCCCCGCGGGCGCCGGGGAGGGGCGGGCAGGGAGCCTTTGGCAATGGCGACGGCCGGGGCCGGAGGGGAAGCGGAACAACCGCTGCCGCTGCGCGTGGCCACAACCGTGGGGGAGGGCGACGGCGGGGAGCGGGCAGAGGCGGGGACAGAACCGCCCCACCCGCCCCTTGCTCCCGCCTTGAATCCTGATGCGCCCCGGGGCGGAGACGAGCACCGCCTCCTAATGGGCGGGCTGGAGCCAAGGCTGCTGGGAATTGTAGTTCAGCGATGGGCACCGCTCTTCTCCTTTTTTTTTTTTTTTTTTCAATTCTTTGTAATGAGAGAGACCTCCAGTCTGGCTGCTTCATTTAATTCTATCAAAGATGTTGATAGATGATTGCTGTTATATGAATCTGCTCCAGAACATTTGCTTCTGGGAATTCATTCATTATTCATTTTGCTCCTTTACCTACAAACTCTTACCATATTTTGCAGCTAAATTACATCTCACCTGTTTGCAAATTAAGACAAATTCCTCTGTTTTATCCACAGAGGAGTTCACCAGTGTATTCACTTAGTCTACAAATATTTGAATGTCTAATCTGTACTAGACACTGTTAGGCATCATGAATACAAGGCTGAACAAGATAAACAAAGCCCTTGCCTTTGTGAGCTCACAAATATGAAAACACAATAATTTAAATAGCGATATCTGGTATCAGGAAAAATTTAGGGGAGATCGTTTTGGATAGGGTAGCCAGAGAAGGCTTCCTTAAGGAGATGACATTTAAGCTGAGAACAGAAAGATAAAGAGACAGCTGTGCGAAGGATCCAAGGGAAGGCACTACAGCCAGAGGGGAGAAGAAACAGGCTTGCAACGGTCAGTTAAGAAGGTCTGTGTAGCTGGAGCTTAGTGCAAGAAGGATACAGTAGTATGAGAAAATACTACTAATACTACTTTAGTAATACTACTAAAAATACAGTAGAGTCAGGTCATGCAGGACGTTAAATGCCACAGGAAGGAGTATAGACTATTCTAAGAAGCTGAGTAAAGGTTTTGAGCAGAGAAGTGATGTTACCTGGTTTACACTTTAAGATCACTAGACTGTTACATGGAGAATGGAGTACAGAGATGCAAGAATAGAAGGGAAATGAACTAGGCAGGCAATAATTACGACTTACACTAGGGAGATAGCACTGGAAATAGACAGAGGTACCCAAATTGTGCTTATCTCTGGGTAAAACAAAAATCCTCAAGTCACATGGAGGGTACAGGAGAAAAAGGAATCAAGGAACAATAGAGCAGACTATTAGATAACCTGAAAACTCCTCCCATTATAAAGCACACAAAAACGCTGGGTAAAACAGAACATCCTTTCAAAGGCATAATTAAGCTTGCAGGAAAGAAAGGGGAATATCTCTGATAGCTTTCCAAACTCCACACTCAACCCAAAGAAGGAGCAGGAAACCAGAGTGGTAATCAGGGCAGTGAAGCCATGATTGTGTTGAGGGTATCTACTTATCTCAGAAACCTCTAGGATTTTAATGACTACACAGGAGACAGAAGACAAGATCTTGGGCCTGTACAAGGAGTTGGGACTATGATCCTACATAGGGCTGGGAAACTCAAAGGGTTTCACACCCTCCAAGAATAGACTAGAAAAAGAAAATCCCCTGTAACCAGCCCAGGATGATAAGCAGAACATCTATCTGTTTTAGCCTGAATGTAGCGTGGAGGGAAAAAGAAGAATTTCAATTTAATTTATAACCACAAACTTTCCCTCACTTAGGTCTGAAAGTTCAAATTTATAGTCCCTGCACTGTTCAGGAAACCTCAAGTTAAGAAAGTGGCCTAGGCTGGTGGTGGTTGGAGGCCTGGAAGAAAACAAATACAAATCCTCACTGCACAGATGCACCTTCAACCCAGGTCTCAAAGGTGTCCCACAGATAAACAGGGCTTTCAAAGCTACACATGAACATCCAAAACATAATTACAATACACCTGATGAAATAAGCCACCATGAGTGAAGTCAACAGAAACTATAAACAGAATAATAAAGCCCAAAAGGACTTTAGATATTGAAATTATTGGTTATAGAATATAAATTAAGTTTATTTAAATGATTAATGAAAATAAGAGAGGAGCTAGAAAACATGAGCAAGAAACAAGATTTTTAAATGACTAGGTAGCTTTGAAAAACAAAAAAAAAGTAGAACTTTAAGAAATAAAGAATATGATCATTGAAACCAAAGTCAATAGATGGATTAAACAGCAGATTACACAGCTGAAAAAAGAATTAGTGAATTGGAAAATAGACCTAATGAAATTACTGAGAGCAGCCAGACACAAAGAAAAAGGAAATATGAAAGAGAGATCAAGAGATTCAAGGGCAGACAGTGAAGGTCTAGCGTATGACTAAAAGAGAGAATATAGAAGAGGCAGAATTTGATGAGATAATGGCAAAAAAATTTCCAGAATTCATTAATGCAAAAATCTGCAGATTCAGGAAGTAAAGTGAATCTCAAGAACAAGAAGTAAAAATAAATCTACTCAGACACATCAAAGTGAAACTGCAGAAGACTAAAGATAAAGCAACCAGAAAGAAAAGACATTTCCTACAAAGAAACAAATATCAATTTACTGCAGACTTCTCAACAGCAACAATGGGTGTCAGTCGACAATGGAAGAATATTTTAAATATTTTCAAAACACTAAGAGAAAATAACCAAATCTAAAGGGAAACACCTAGCTAAATAATCTAAGCTTCTGGTAGAGTATCTGTGACACACATACACACACACTTAAAATAATCTGCTGCCCCATCACCACCCTTAAAGTAATTTGTGTCTGTTCTTTGTATCCAAAAGAGCATAAGACAATACTTAAAGAAAAAAACTCATAGATGTGGAACAAAGACTGGAACACAATGGCCAGGAGAACAGTACCTATTCTCTTGTCCGTAAGCAAAAAAGGCCATACACAGAATTACAAAATTGATTTAAAAAATAAAGTGCTTATTCATTTTTTAAGTATCCAAAGAAGACAATATAATCATGAATGAAGAGGTCACACCAGAAATGTTTTACTATATCAAAAGCAATGACATCTGTAACCATTTATCAGGCAAGAAGAGTCAGATCAAAGTTTTCTTCATTCACTCATATTTTTATTATACTTCTGAATACCTGTATGAATGAGTAAATGACTGAACTGTGTTCCAAGCCAAAATCCCAAATATTAACTTGAAAGCTTGTTTAAATATTAGTAAAATTTGGTTAGATGTGCAAAAGAAAAAGAGTTATACACACACACAGACACACACAATTAAGCGGTTAAACAGTACTACATTCCCTCATCTGTTTAGCCATATTCCAAAATGTTCTGTTGATGTTCTTAAATTTCACTTACATATAATTTCATTTCAATGCCATGTTATTAATATCATACTAAAAGAAATACTTGTAAAACATGGAATTCTTTCTTCTTTCAATGTACAACATTCTTTCAGTCTATGAAAAGAAACAGGGTTAATCATTTTAAAGATCTCTAATATTTCTGCTTTATAGCATTGGACACTAAATAAAGAAGACCGAAGAAGAACTGACTCCTCTGAATTAGGGTGCTGGTCAAGAATCCTGAATATCCCATGGATTGCCAGAAGAACGAACAAATCTGTCTTGGAAGTACAGCCAGGATGCTCCTTAGAGCAAGGATAGTGAGATTTCGTCTCATGTACTTTGGGCATGTTATCAGGAGGGACTAGTCCCTGGAGAAGGACATCAGGCTTGGTAAAGTAAAACAGAGGGTCAGTGGAAAAGAGGAAGACCCTCAAGGAGATGGACTGACACAGTGGCTGCAACAATGGGCTCAAGCATAGCAACGATTGTGAGGATGGTGAAGGACCAGGCAGTGTTTCGTTCTGTTGTACATAAATAGCATCGCTGAGTCAGAACTGACTTGATGGCACCTAACAACAACATGGCATTAGATTGCCTTTTTCAGTATTAAGTCTCAAACGTTCCTTCAGAAAGAATTGTTCTGACTAGTCAAGCTGTACATGTCAAATTATAAAAGATTTATTTCTCTAAAAACACCAGAATGTTTTAGGAAACTAAGCAGTGATAGCATATATAAATGTATATCACATCTCATTATTCTGCAGAAAACAAACAATGCCAATATACCTGGTTTACTGGCTTCTATTTTGGAACATGCTTGCCCTAAAGTTTTATTTCTTTATCATTGCGTAGTATTCCATTGTGTGAATATACCACAATTTGTTCATCCATTCATCCACTGATGGGCACCTAGGTTGTTTCCATCTTTTTGCTATCGTGAACAGTGCTGCAATGAACATGGGTATGCATATATCTATTCACGTGATGGCTGTTATTTCTCTGGGATATATTCCAAGTAAAGTTTTATTTCTTAATTAGCCTATGGCACTTACTTTATTTTCCTTTTTTTTCCCCCAAGTATAACAGTAAATCAAGACCCTTTGCTGTTTTTTTTAAATCACTTGTAGATTCCATTTTTTGTAAACGTACAACTTAGTAAAATTTACTCTTTAAAATGACAATCTGAGTTGTCTTCCTGACACACACATTAAATCTTAGTACTTAGTTTCATCAAGTTCTTTGCCCATACATTAAAAAACAAAAACCAAAAAAACTACAAAATGTAAAAGGAGAATGAAGATGCTTTAAATAATCTTAAAGTCAATTTTGATATTAATAATTTCTTAGCAGATCTATTTTAACATAAGTTTTTTTCAAAACTCTGGATAAATGCCTTAATATTCTCATGAAATTGAAGTTCAAGTAAGCCTCTGATTCATCCAAATTATTTTATTCTTATTTATAATGGTTTTCTCAATTTTTATCTTAAATTGAAAGGGTCCTTTTCACAAAAAGAGAATAATTTGCCTCATTTGCCCAAAATGAAGATAAAGTCACTTCTCATAAAATAAATATTTAACAAAATTAAGTTTCCTCTATTGGCACTCGATGTTTGAGGATTATCAATAATCTACACAATAGAACACTAAATTTTGGAATCAGCTGACAATAATCCAAAGTTTCCCGAGCAAACATAATTTCAGCCATAATTCCATTAAATACATTTTTAAAAAAATAAATGGAGACAAAAGACAAAAGTAATCACATAATTCTAAAAAAACACTTCTAGAGACAAATGAATAGGTCTTATTTAGGTTTACGGAAAGTGTTTAACTTCAAAAAACTTATAGAGAAAAATGACCATATTTGAAAACAGCTATAAGGATCAAAGTAGAACACAGGACTGTAATAAGCAGAGTCACAGAACATACTAAAGAGGTATGTAGAGTCAGTCCCACTGGGACCTGTAGAGTCACATTCTTATATACCTATGGAGAGAGAAGGATAGAGAAATTAAATAGGGACCATTTAAAATGCACATCCCAAGTGAGACCACTACTTCTTTGATTTTTAACTTGATCATTTCCTTTTTTTATTTTAAAATATCTTTCAGCCAATAGTTACACAACATGTGACATTATTATTTGAATGACTCTTCTGGATCCAACACGTCATTCAATTCAGAATTAGACTCAATTCCCACAATAATTCTTAAATTCTTATTAGTTCTGACTTCTACTTTTTACATAGAATCAAGTATGTTCTTAAAAAAATTTTTTTAATACCAGCTATATCACTTCTGTAATGAATATAAACATTTACTTCCTTTTATTATGATTCACACTACAACGCAAAAGTCTCTAAGTTGAAGTCCTAAAGGAAAAAACATTAAAACAAGAATAAAACTAAAGTATCCATTCACTCCTGTTTCTCCATCTCTCCCCACAAATAGCTTTAAAAAGTTGCTACTGACAAATTGTACAAACTCAAGGTGTCCTGAGCCATTACCACAACAATAAATTAGTTGGGATACTGACTAGCAACCCAAGAGTTCTCTGCTTAACTTCTTTTCTATTTTTTATTTGGTTTTGAAGATAAAGGGCTTACTTAGAAAGCTTGGGAAAGATTATGGTTCTAAAATAGGTTTTTTAAAAACATTAAAATTTAGGTCACTTGGGAATACTTTTATTTTTGGTTTCTTTCTAACTAGATAAATACTTGGATTATAATTTCACATAAAAAAAAGTTACCAGCCAAGTCTACAACAAAAGACTATTTGCAAATTATCGTTCAACAAACGGCATCTTAAACTAACAAACCTCAGTATAACAACCTTAGTAATTGTCATCTATTGTTCTGGCATATGTAACATATATATATAAACAAGAAATATAACACAAAGTAAAAAAAAAAAAAGCTTAATTATGACCTCTTATGTCAAGTTCCATGGTTTTAAAGAGAACTGAATTCAAAATGTTTTAAGAGTATAATTACTTATTTTGTAGCAATGCGCATGACCAATTTTTTTATCAATAAACTATAAGTAAACACCATACTCTTCATTCACATAAAAATATCAAACGCAATTCTCCAGATGTATTTAGAGTTTGAAAAAAATCAGGCACCATATGAAAATGGCAATCCACTCTAAGTGCATAAGATATTAACACAGTTGTCCATCTTCCCAATCATCAGCTCAAAAACAGTTCTCCAATACAAAAGAGCAGTAGTGCTTTGTAGTACGCCTTCAATGTAAGTAGTTGTTTTCGGAGCTAGCTGGTAGACAGACTTAGAAGTAACCACAGGAAAATACTTCAAATCCAATTATCCACAATAGTACATCTGGACAAATCCGTTTTAAGTTTATCTGACTGACATTTGTGGTGTCTGCTGGTTTAGGTAAATTCTAAGTTTATTTATTTTTGTTGCAAACTCATTTGACTCCTTGTAAAAAAGTCAGTTGTAAAAATGACAACATAGATTGTACAGTTCAACCAAAGAAAGTAGGCCTTAAAGAGAATTAGGAACAGAAAGAAACAGTGATGCACAAGCATGTGTTAAAACGCAGTTCATAAAAGAGGAAGAGAGGGATAAGACAAAAGAGGGGGGAGAAAGGAAGAAATGAATTGTTTAAAGACTTACCACTCTGAAGAGAGGAAAGAAGTAGACTGTTAAGTAAAGAGGGTAAGTAGAAAAGAGTAGACTCCTAAGACAGAGCCACTGTTAACAAGGTGTTTAACACCACCCCAATTTAATGACTGAAAACAAGTTGGGGTGGCCAAAACTACAAAAATGATCTGGAACAGTCTAGATTTACATACAGAATAGCAATACAACTATCTAGAATCTTTATCACAGTTAAAATACTACTTAGTTTTATTTTCCTACTTGCACTGACTCTATGTAATATAGTGAAGTTAATGAATGTGTTTTGTTGTTCAAAAAGTAATAAAAAGTTCTATATAAAAATAAAATTTTGTTCATAAAGGAAAACCAGACGGACATGTCACTGCTTTTCTTCACCATTTCACACCTTTAAAAAGCATATCAGCTATACCTCAGCTCTGGGTTAATAAGGCATGAGACTAACTCTAAGTTTCCAGCCCCAAAATTGAATGAGTCTATGATTCTACTGAAGTGAAGAACCACTGCAGCCATCAGTAGCAAAGGAACAACATTAAAAGCAAACAAAAGCACTTCCAGCTTTCTATGATATAATATAAAATGCTTATTAATCCCTTAAATGTGGCAGAAACATTACAGAGTTTTAAATGAGGCAGCATGATCCAAATATAACATAAAATATTAGCTTACTGATTTATATTTCATATTTTTCCATTGGCAGATATCCTTATTCCTCAAAGCACAAGGAGCTGCCACTTCTGACTGAGCCCAGCATTTCAAAATTGGAAACTCTGGGAAATAAAGTGGTAGAACAAGATGTCAGAAAACTTGTATTTGGACTAGAGGCTAGACTTGTATTGAACCTAACATAAGTCTTTCATGTTAGGATATGAGTATTCAAACATTTTAATACAGTATACATATATGATATGGACCCACTTCTTACATGCTGTTTTATTTAAACAGCCTGAGTGGTTAACAGCTCAGCTGCTAACCAAACAGTAGGCAGTTCAAATCCACCAGCCGCTCCTTGGAAATCCCGTAGGGCAGTTCTACTCTGTCCTATAGGGTCATCATGACTTGGAATCGACTCGACGGCAATGGGTTACTACGTGAATACCTAAGAAATTATAGAATTATGAAGGCTGCCCAGAAGTTGGATTGTACAGCTTGATACATTTTCATACAGTAAACGTACCTATATAAAAAACACTCAGATCAAGAAACAGAACAATATCGGAACCCCACATGCTCGCTCATTTTCGAATTTTATCTAGGGGAAGTAAAAGGTACCATCACATCAATAGAGACAGAAAACTAGACCGGATGGAGAAAGCTAATAGAGTTGAACATTTTTTATTTCCTTATAATGAAATGTATGATGGTAGCAGACATATGATTGAAAACTTTCTATCTGCCAGTCCTTAGTAAAAGTGCTACTGACTTTTGTAAACATTGTATGTCAGCCCAAATTTAGAGCCGAAGAGCCAAAATCTGAAAAGAGCCTCTTACATTAAAGAAAAAGACTTGATTTTGGGACAAGCGAAGATGGTGAAAGTATAGTTTTTTAATTTAATCAAATTTTCACATAAAAACAGAAAGAACAATTAGAGAGCAAAACCAAAAGTTCATGGACAACATTTACAACAAAACTAGGTGAAAAAGGATTCCCTCGAATCCCAAAATACATGCAAGTGGAGACAAAACACCAAAAGCCACAAGTCCTTCAACACCAGGATCTGTGCAAGAAGAAACAGAAAGAAACAAAGAGGCACCTAAAGGACCTGAGAAGGAGAGAACGCCAAACAGCCCACAGGTGTTACTGGAAAGCACCCATAAACCACCCCGTTGCCGTCGAATCGATTCTGACTCACAGCGACCCTATAAGACAGAATAGAACTGCCCCATAGAGTTTCCAAGGAGCACCTGGTAGATTCGAACTGCCCACCTTTTGTTTAGCAGCGGTAGCTCTTAACCACTATGCCACTGGAAAGCACAGGGGGTTCAAACTGAGAAAAGCAGGTGAATTGTCGGGGCTTTGCCCACTTTAAAAACAGGTGAGTATGAGGGGTCCGGTATGGTCTAGAGGGCTGGGCCCTGTGAATTCCCAAAACCAATTCATCAAGACCCTCTCTCCAGACACAGCCTAAGACCGAAGAGAAAGTGATAAGAATGAAATTAAAGCTGAGGAGAGCAGGGATAACGAAAATGAAAGAAAGAGAACGTTCACATAAAGTGGAGAACAGGCTACAGAGCAGAATAACATTCCTTCAGGCAACATAAAGCACACCAGAAAGAGATGCCCATAAAACAGATCAAAATTATAACTATTTCAAAATGGGCTAACAGACTAAGAAAATGATATAAGATATGAAAGAACATCTAGACAAAAGGAACATGTGACTTATAAGGGAAAAAAAATAGATCATCATCACACTTCAGATTAGGGGTTGGCAAACTTTTTCTTAAAGGGCCAGATAGAAAACATTTTAGGCTTTGTGGTCATGTGGTCTCTGTTGCAACTGCTCAACTCTACCACGGCAAAGGCAGCCACAGACTGCAAAGGCAGCCATGCATAATCAAAGAGGTGTGGCCGTGTTCCAATAAAACTCTATTTACAGAAATAGGCAGCAGATCAGATTTAGCCCTGGGGTGTACTTTACCAGCCCCTGCTTTAGGCCAAGTGAAACTGGAGCAACATGGTAAAGATACTCAAGGAAAGAAAATGTGAGCCCAGGATATAAAATATAATAATTATATCCTCTGAAAATGTAGATACAGTAAAACTGTTACAAAATGGATGAAGAATGGAGATAGAATGTGAAAAAAATGTTTAAGTGTTTTCAGTAATCATTGATGATGGAAGCATTAGTATGTATAGGAATATATGTATGTGTGTGAATGTGTATGTACCTGCCCTCTGAAAGGGTATAGAAAAAATGACCAACCCAGGAGTAATCAGCATCCTTACCACCCATATTATATTTCACTAAAAGAAACCAGGTTTTCATGGAGAAATGGCTGATTTCAGGTCAGGGGCAAGAAATGTATAAAATGGGCCTAGAACATCTTGTCATGCTAGATAGTAAGTAAGCTGTCAAAATCTACTAGGGTCATGTTAAAAGGACTCAGAAGCCAATCTAAAGAGGCTTCCGCTGTCCAAAAATAGGACACTTTGAGCTTTAATAATGGTAAGAAATGCAACTGATTGAACTCAAATACGTTGTTGTGTTGTTATATGCCATCAGGTCGATCCCGACTCATAGCGACCCTACAGGACAGAGCAAAACTGCTCCATCGGGTTTTCTAGGCTGTAATCTTAACAGAAGATCGCCAGGTCTTTTCTCCTGCAGAGCTGCTGGTAGGTTCAAACCACTGACCTTTCAGTTAGCAGCTGAGCACTTAACCATTGAGCCACCAGAGCTCCTTTGAAATACATTAAAATTCATTAATTAATAACATTTTAAAACTGATTAGTCACCTTCTGAGGATGACAGAAAACTAATTTATTATCTTAAAAGCCAATAAATAAAGGGAAAGAATCAAGCATCTATGCTGTCTTTCTCATATATTAGTACCAAATAGTAGATGAGGGAAACATAATAAAAAAATAGAATTAAAGTATCACTATTTGGCAGCCCCCATTGAATGAATGGATCTAGGCAACGAGAATCAAAGGCTGCTTACATCACAAAAAGAGACACAACCAGACATTACACGCTTCCTGATAAAAGAACGAAGCACCACCCTATTGTCTCCAAAGCAATCAAATTTGAATCTGATCACGCCCGTGGAGCCAGCTGCCAATTTCTAGGAAATAAAGAGATCACAGGAGCATGTTGAACTGATCATGAGTGCAATCAGCAAAAACCTAACTATGAGAAATTGTACAGGTCAAATGGCCCATGTTCTTCAACAGATAGATTTTAAAGAAAAGAAAGGAACGGAAGTGAAACCTGTAAATTAAGAGACGTAATAGAGATAACAAAATTTTTTTAAGTGGGCAAGACTAAGTTATGCCCACTTGGGTGATAAAATCATAAAGAAACATAGGAAGCAAATCAAAGTCAGGAGAGAGGGTTCGTTCCAGAGAGAGGAAGAAGGCTGTGCTCGGGACAGGGCGCATGCAATTGCCGTGAGGGTGGCTTGCAAAGTTCTATTTCTTGACCTGGGTAGCAGTAATTGCCTTAGAATAATTCATTAGGCTATGTATTTGTTGGTAAAGTTTTTCTATATCTATGCTTCGTTTTGTAATAAAAATATTCAAAAGTAAGAAACATGCTTTTGGCATCTCTGCAGACTGGCCACCATACCTTTATTTTTATTTTCAACCCTCAGAAAAGATTTGCAACCCTCACCTTGGTCACAGTACATCAGTAAATCTGGGTTATTGACCACAATAAAGGTTTCTCCATCTTTGCTGTGTGGCCGATGATAGCGGTAGTGAACAGGCAAAAAGGCTTGGAAACAATCAACGCATTGTGAATCTTGTTTGGCATAAAGGAGAATTTCAGATTCCTTGGACAAATAGTTAGGAGCTTCTATATCAAAATTTTCTGAAACCATCACTGCCTGTCAAAAAGAAAACAAGTATTAATCCAGAAGAAATGAATAAGATTAAAAAACAAAAATAAAACCAGAAGAATGTTACACAGATGAACAAAAGTGTCGGATTTACCTCCCTTATAAGCCGTTCCCATTCCAACTTTAAGTAGAAAACACAAGATGTGATCTGTGTTTAATCAAAATTTGTTTACTGAAAGTAAAATGGGAAAATTATATTCTAGGGTGCCAAATTACCATATAATAAAATTTATTTCTGTGCGATGTCCTTATTAACCTGTTTAGATGACAAACCCAGTACCCAGAAAAGAAATTTTGTGAATAAATATGGAATTATTCAGTAAGTATAAAAACTACTCTGACAAAAACAGTTAAACCTGTATTGCGTTAAAATGATGGGTATCATTCTGGTAATTTCCTGTTGTTCAGAGAAGCAAGTAAGATGGTAGTGAGTAAGACAGCATTGTGGTCAGGATGTCAAAACAAAGTCTATAAGGTGAGCACTCTTTCTATATTGCGTATAAAAAGTTAACGGAAAAGATGTTATATAATTCTTAAAAAAAAAATAAGTATTCTCTACCAAAAGTGAAAATGCACATGTAACAGAAATTAGTCCTAAATTATAATGATTTATATTTCTATATATATAACACACACGTATACATATCTACACATACATGTGTGTATGTACATGTGTGTATGCATATACAGGCATTATATGCATAATGTGTGTGTATACGTATGGATGTACACCACACACAACTTCTCTTCAGATTCTCTATGCAAAGCCCTGCTATATCTCAGAGAAACAGCCAGCATTAACTCCTTCCCATCACAGCAAGCATTCTAATTCTCCTATTTGACAGGGACCCCAAATGCTGTACTTTTTTTTTTTTACATGTTGTTCCTTCTCTGTTAATCACAGCAGTAATAGAATCGTTGACAGAGGTCAAGGAATTATATAATTTTAAGAGTCATAAGGGACCTCCTGTTAAACCAAACTCGTTGCTGTCAAGTCGATTCTGACTCATAATGACCCTACAGGACAGAGTAGAACTGCCCATAGGGTTTCCAAGGAGAAGCTGGTGGATTTGAACTCCTGACCTGTAGGTTAGCAGCTGAGCTCTTAACCACTGTGCCACCAGAGGTGGCCAAACGAGAGCATTTTTTCAATTATCCAGCCACTGTCTGAATGCTTACAATGACTGGAAGGGAGATTATTTTGAATCATCTCAATCTATCTACTGTTAAAAGGTTCTTCCTTTTTTTATAAGTGGAAACTTGATTCCCCAGCCTATAACATTCACCAGTTGCTCCTGCTTACAATGTCTGCAAGAAATCTGTCCCTTATTTCACTGTGGGTCCTTCAAAGATCAGAAGGCAACCATGCTGCCTTCTAAGTTTTCTCCTCTCTGGGGAAATAGTCACAGTTCTCTGGGTTTCTCATGACATGGCTTCCCAACCATTCGTCGTATTAGCTGCCTTCTGAAATACTCAAAACTGGAACGCATAGAGTTTTAGTAGTAGTAACACTACTTTCTTTAGCCAAAAATTGCATTAGCCTTTTAGCAGCCTTATCTCAGCGTGCTATATTTATCTCTTGAATTTTTTGCAGAAAACTTTAAATAATTCCCGTTATATTTTTCAAGTATTGACTTTTTATTAACTAAATGCAGGGCTTTGGGTTTATTTCAATTAAAATAATTTTATCTTTCTGGTTTTAGTTCATTTTTTTTTAGGCTTCTGAGCTTTTTTTTTGAAATCTCAATTTTGTCAACAGGTATGTGTCATTATGAATTTAATAGCCAAGTCTTCTGTATTTTTATCTAGGGATAAAAATGTCGGCAGGAAGGGTCAAGAGCAAAGTTCTAAGGAGTACTACCAGAGACCTCCTACTAGAAATTTATTGATGAACTCTCTCTGGGTACAACTAGATATAAATCAAAATTACACCTAGTCCAAATTTTTCTACCTTGTCAACATGGATATATACATACTGGCACCTTTTTTTGAGTGTTTACTATGTGTCAAGTGTTTCATTTTATACCGTTTACATTTCATACTTAATATACATTAACAACACAGTAGGTACAGCCAAGATTCAAAGCCAGGTCAAACTGACCTCACTATTCAATTAGGCTAAGCAATAGAAAATGGCCAATATTTGACCAGTTGAAAATTAAACATAAAAAAAAATATTAGCTTTCCAGGGCTGCCATGCAAATTACTACAATCTCGACTAGCTTAAAATAGAAATTTATTCTCTCACAGTTCTGAGGTTAGAAGTCTGAAATCAAGGTGTTGACAGACCATGTCCCCTCCAACCTCCAGGGGAGGATCCTTCCTTGACCCTCCAGCTTCTGGTAGCCCGGCATCCCTTATTTTATGGCAGCATCCCTCTAATCTCTGCCTCGGTCTTTACATGCCATCTTCCCTCTGTCTGTGTCTCTTCTCCTCTTCTTACAAGCATACCAGTCATGTTGGATTAAGGGCCCACGCTGCTCTAGTGTGATCTCACCTTAACTTAACTAATTACATATGCAACTACCCTGCTACCAAATATGGTCACATTCTGAGGTTCCTGGAAGGGCATGAATGGGGGGGCGGGGAAGAGGAAGCACTATCTAACCCAGTGCAATAAGTAAAACTGACATAGAGTATATTCCTGATCGTGATATTCAGAATTTATAATAATACTGTGATCTTCAGTTTCTCTAATTACTGAGTTGTTTTTGTTATTATTTCTTCCACAGAAGTAAAAAAAATGGGATCTTTTGAAAATATTGAGAAAACCTTTTTATATGAATTAAAACTAGGATATAATGAAGATGACACAGGTACAAACAGTAGTTTGGCTTTCAGAGAGGGCTCTCTTGGCAAAAGGATTATTTGGTGATGGTTCAAAAAATCTGAATCTCAAAAATGAGCCTTTATAAGGGGTTTCATTTGATAATGATGAATATGTTCCGGAATCAGATAATGGTGATGGTTATACAACTTTGTGTATATACTAAAATCCACTGAACTGTACAGTTTAAAGGAATGAATTTTATGATATGTGAATTATATCTCAATTTTTAATTTGAGAATAATTTTCTAAAAAATGGGCCTCAGGAGAGACCCAAATCCATTTTAAAGCAAGATCTATTAAGAACCAGCAGAAGCTAATCCACAAATAACAACATGAGATATCCTGGAACAGACACAGGAGTTTCTTGGAACCCAGTCACATTTAACGTTGTTGTTAGGTACTGTTGAGCAGATTTGGACTCAGAGCAACCCCACATGACAGAGTAGAACTGCCCCATAGGGTTTTCTAGGCTGTAATCTTCATGGGAGCAGATCACCGGGTCTTTCTCCCGCAGAGCCACTGGGTAGGTTCAAACCGTCAAACTTTCAGTTAGCACTCAAGCACTTAAATGTTGTACCAGCAGGGCTCCTTAGTTGCGACAGGAAGGGAAAAAATGACACAGTAGGTACCACACCAATAGGCAGGTTATTAAACACTCAGACAGTGGAGGTGTGTACATTTTAGATTTAAAACAACAAAGAATTTTTGGAGAAGATCATAACCTGACAATCCAAAGTGATCTGAACAATGGCTGGATGTTGGCTAATCTGCCAAACACATGCCAAAACCATCAATACAACTAAAAAAAGTCCACTGACTGTATGTTGATCTGCAAAAATCATAATTCATTATTCCATTTTCAATGCAGATAAAACAAAAGCTGTAGCATGTCATCAAGAAATTGAAATTACGTATCAAAAATTTATCCGAAAGCAATTTGCATTGGTTAACAGGCATGGATCCATACTTTTTCATGACAACACTCAACTACACATGTCACAAACCACCAAAGCAAAGTTAAATGAATTAAGACATGAAATTCTGCCACATCTGTAACACTTGCCAGGACAAAGTAGAACTGCCCCCTAGAGTTTCCTAGGCTGTAATCTTGACAGGAGGAGATTATCAGGTCTTTTCTCTCACGGAACATCTGGTGAGTTTCAACCACCAATCTTTCAGTTAGCAGCCGAGTGCTTTACCATTGCACCACCAGAGCTCCTTAACAACAACATGAAATGAGGTTTATTTGATATGGCTTATCCTTGGGACCTATTGAGCCTTGTCTCTATTTTCAAATTGCTCACAAAGCATCATAAACTCCTGATAAAGCATCCTGTTGCCACACCACCCATCTGATTTGGACCCAGTGTTCTATTTGCTACAGCTAAAAATTTTATCTCATGTATAAATTTCATGGAACAGAATCAAGACCTCAATTCAGGTACTTAAATATCAACCATTCCCTATGTATAAATTCCCTTTTTCCCAGTTAAAGTCATCACATAATACCACTTTTTATGACAAAGTTTCTCTGTACAAGGAACTGGGTCACAGTCTCAACCCAACTAGGCACCAGGGAACAGTAACTGACATATCACATAATCAACTTACAATCATCTACATGTCACAAATGAGACATGTATTTTTCTAAAAATTTCCAAAATAATAAAGTAAATTCACATAAAAGGATTACAATTAGGAATTAGAAGATTAGGAAACACAAAACCAAAATAAAGAGAAATTTGTCCGTCAATCTATCGTGGCGCCCTTGCTGCTAAAGCACTACTTGTTAATCTTTAATCTCTTCAAGACATCCATACATACATACAGTTTTCTTAGTCACTAAGTACGACCATCCTGCCAAAAAGCATTTAACTAGCTCAGTTTAGTTGGCTTATTCCTAATATCGCTCACTTCTTAAACTCTTCCATCACAGCTCTAAAAATGTCACTTCATTCACTTTAATAAAATGAAAAAAAAAAAAATCACTACAATGTTGTCTACTATTTTACCTTAATCCAAATTATAAACAAAAAAAACCTGTTTGCCGTCAAGTCGATTCCGACTCATAGCGACCCTATAGGACAGAGTAGAACTACCCCAAAGAGTTTCCAAGGAGCACCTGGTAGGTTCAAACTGCAGACCTTTTGGTTAGAAGACGTAGCTTTTAGCCACTACACCACCAGGGTTTCCAATCCAAATTATAGCATCCCTAAATTAACTTCTTTCAAAAATATCTCCTAATAGTTATACCTCAGTTATGTTTCTCTCTCGTAATGAAGCCAATTCATATGGATCCACAAACAGTCCTGTCGGGATAGGCTGTTTAATTAAGAGTTGGCAGGTCTGTAAATCCTCAATGCTCTCTCCAAATCTCACTTTTATTAAAAGGTCTCTGTAAGACAAACACATTTAAAGTAAATCTCTTCATTCAGTTATTAAATGAAATAGCATAACACTATATTTAAATTAGAAGAAATACTACATTTCAAATTCACTTTTCACAATTAAATTATTGAGTCAAGTTAAATATTTATACTATATCAGAATCATCCATTACACCGTCCATAAATTCATGTCATAAGCCACAGTATGGTTATGTTGTTGTTGCTAGATGCCATCGAGTTCGTTCCAACTTACTGCAACCCTATGTACAACAGAAAGAAACACTGCCCGATCCTGCGCCATCCTCACAATCATTGCTATGTTTGAGCCCATTGTTGCAGCCACTGTGTCAATCCATCTCCTTGAGGGTCTTCCTCTTTTTCTCTGACCCTCTCCTTTACCAAGCATGATGTCCTTTTTCAGGGACTGATGCCTCCTGATGACATGTCCAAAATACGTGAGACAAAGTCTTGCCATCCTCACTTCTAAGGAGTACTCTGGCTGTACTTCTTCCAAGATAGATTTGTTCCTTCTTCTGGCAGTCCATAGTATATTCAATATTCTTTGCCAACACCATAATTCAAAGACATCAGTTCTTCTTTGGTCTTCCTTATTCACTGTCCAGCTTTCGCATGCATATGAGGTGACTTAACATGGGTCAGGTCCACCTTAGTGCTCAAAGTGACATCTTTGCCTCTGAACACTAAGGAGTCTTGGATGTATTAGATTACCCCAATGCAATACGTCGCTTGATTTCTTGACTGCTGCATCCATGGGCATAGATTGTGGATCCAAGTAAAACAAAATCCTTGATAACTTCAATCTTTTCTCCGTTTATCATGATGTTGCTTATTGGTCTAGTTGTGAGGATTTTTTTTTCTTTATGCTGAAGTGTAATCCATACTGCAGGCCGCAGTCTTGATCTTCATTAGTAAGTCCTTCACGTCCTCTTCACTTTCAGCAAGCAAGGTTGTGTCATCTGCATATCACAGATTGTTAATGAGTCTTCCTTCAATCCTGATGCTGTGTTCTCCTTCATATAGTTCAGCTTCTCAGATTATTTGCTCAGCATACAGACTGAATAAGTATGGTGAAAGGATACAACCCTGATGCACACCTTTCCTGATGTTAAACCATGCAGTATCCCCTAGTTCTGTTTGAACAACTGCCTCTTGCTGTATGTATAGCTTTCTCAGGAGCACAGTTAAGTATTCTGGAATTCCCATTCTTCGCAATGTTATCCATAATTTGTTATGAACCACACAGTCGAATAGCTTTGCATAGTCAATAAAACACAGGTAAACACGTTTCTGGTATTCTCTGCTTTCAGTGAAGATCCATCTGACATCAGCAATGATATGCCTCATTCCACGTCCTCTTCTGAGTCCAGCTTGAATTTCTGGCAGTTCATGTCGATGTACTGCTGCAAGTGTTTTTTAATTATCTTCAGCATAATTTTACTTGCATGTGATATTAATGATATTGTTCAGTAATTTCCGCATTCCACTGGATTGCTTTTCTTTGGAATATGCACATATATGGATCTCCACCACTCATCTGTCAGTTTGTCATACTGTGGTGGCTTGCATGTTGCTGTGATACTAAAAGCTATGTCACCAGTATTTCAAATACCAGCAGGGCTACCCATGGTGGACAGCTTTCAGCAGAGCTTCCAGACTAAGACAGACTGAAGGACCTGGTGATCTACTTCTGAAAATACTGGCCAGTGAAAACTTCATAGATAGCAGTGGAACGGTATGGTACTAGTGTGAAAATAGACATACTTTAATAGAAAGAGACAGAGTCCAAAAAAAAAACAGATTCACACATATTTTCAATAAAAGTACCAACATAATTTGATGGCGAAAAGACAGATTTTTCAGCAAATGGTACTGAAACAACTGGATAGCTATGTAGAAAAAAGAATGAAACTTGAGCCCTATACCTCACACAATGTACAAATACTAATTTGAAATGGATTATACACATAAGCATGTGATTGTTTAAGCTTTCTGTCTGGAGACACATTCTGGACCACAGTGCAAGAAGGGAGAGTCAAAGCAAAGCACAGTGGTCTTGTTTAGATAAGGAAATAGTAATCAAAGTTCAAGAAGACTAAAGTGACTAGAAGTCACAGTGCTAAGTGACGGAGAATAGAGTAGAAAAAGCTCCAGAAATGTGAAGACGAGTCCCCTTGAGTATTTGCTGAATACCAAGAAAAGCATGAGTAAGGTGTGACTCCACAAGACTTGGCAAAGAATGACTAGGGAGCTATAAGCTGAAAAATTCCCAAATTTCACACAGGGTTAGAAGACATTCAAGTTCCAACCAACCAAAGCATAAAGACTGAAGCAATTAGTAAAGATCCCAATAGGGAAAAGTCTAGGTAGCTAAATTAGCCTCACAGTAAAGGTGACTTTAACTTTACCTATAAACCAAAGGTTAAGAGGATCAAGTTGACAACTTAACTGCCAACAGAAAAAAAGCCGAACACTTTTTAAAGAAAGATAACAAAATCCACACCCTCAACAATGCAATATTCAGTGTTCAACAGCCAATCAAAAGCTATTAAACACATGAAGAAGTAGAAAAGTCTGACCAATAACCAGCAGAAAAATCAGTCAATAGAAACAGACCTAGAAATGAAAGAAGTGATGAAACTAGCAAAGGACATTAAAACAATCATAAATATGCCCCAAATACTCAAGGATTTAAAGAAAAACATGAAGATGATGAGGAAAAGAGAAAATACAAAAATAAAAAAATGCTAAAGCAACTTCAAGAGATAAAAAGCGGAATTTATGAAATGAAAAATTACCCAGATGTGATTAAATACAATTAGATACTGCAATACTGCAGATCAGTGACTTTGAGATTAAGCAATAGAAACTATCCAAATTGAAGGACAAAGAGGAAAAAAGACTAAGTGAGGGGGAAGCAACAGCCTCCGTGATCTTTGAAGAAACATCATGTAAAATGGTAGGGGAAGTGGTAGGGGCCAGTACCTCCACCAAAACAACAATTGAACTTGAAAGACCAATTGGAATCAACTATTTTGGAATTCTGGAGCCTGATCTGACAGCAGAGGAGTGTATGATCAAGGGATAGGTTGCTTATCTTCTGTAGGTGAACCAGGCATACCAACTGGCTACAATCCCCCACTATTAAGCCACCCTGCTGTGGTGGGGACAGCGGAAGTTTTCCTAGAGGGGCTGGCTGGTGCCTGGGCAGGCAGTGGGGACCCAGTCCTCCAAGGATTTGGGGTTGCATATTTGGGGTTGGTGCGGTGTTCTGAGGGACCAGTGCAGACAACTGCTGCACTTTCTGCCCTTTCACTGTAGCAGCTTCTCCTGCTTAAAGGGCCACTGGCAGTGACAAGAGAACAGAAACCTCAGTGACACACACAACTGGAATACACACTTTACAAAATGTGTGGAAAAGTCATTAAACAAACAGATGACTGCAGCCTTCATCAAGTAACAACAGCAACCCCTAAGGAGTGGGGGAGAATCAGTTTTCCAGAACTACCATATTAAAATACCCAGAATGTCCAGTTCTCAACAACAACAACAACAACAACAACAACAAAAAAACCGGAGAGTATGGCCCATTCACAGGATAAAAAGAGTTTGACATAAACCATCCCTGAGGAAGCCCAGGCACTGGAATTAGTAGTCAAAGATGTTAAAGCAACTGTCTTAAATATACTCAGTTAGTCAAAGAAAACCATGGACAAAGAACTAAAGAAAATTAGGAAAATGATGCATGAACAAAATAAGAAAATAAATAAAGAGGTAAACATTATTACAAGGAGCCAAACAGAAGTTCAGGGGCTCAAAAGTACAAAAAATTGAAAAGGATATCTGGAAAACCCTCCAAAACCTGAAATCAAACAACATACTTCTAAATAATCAATGGGTCAAAGAAGAAATCATAAAGGAAATTATAAAATATTTTGAACTCAATGAAAATGAAAACAAAGATGTCAAAATTTATAGGATGCTAAAGCTCTGTTCAGAGGAAATATATAGCTTCAAATAAAAAGATACTTAGAAGAGAAAAACGTCTGAAATCAGTTATCTATCATTAAAAATCTAAAAAGGAAGAGGAAACTAAACACAATGTAAAAAGGAAAAAAAAATAATGAACAGAAATCAATGAAATAGGATGAATAATAGGGAAATATCAATAAAATATTTTCTTTAAAGAGACTAATAAATGTCTAGTTAGATTGATCACGAAAGAGAAAAAGTACAGATTACCAATATCAGGAATGAAAGAGGGAATATCACTATACAACCTCTACACATTTAGAGGACAATAAGGGAATATTGTGAATAATTTTATTCTAACAAATTAAACAACTTAATTAAAATGGACACATTCCTAGAAAGGTAAGTTCCCAAAACGGACACAAGAAGAGATTAAAAAAAAAATCTGAATAGCTCTATATCTTAAATTTGTAATAACAGTTTCTTAAAGTCTTCCCACTAAGAAAAGCCAGGCTGAGAGGCTTCACTGTTGAATTCTATCAAACATTTAAGGAAGAAATAATATCAATGTTACACAATCAAAAAACAGAGAAGGAAATATTTTCCAACTGATGAGGTCACCACTGCCCTGATACCAAAACCAGAAAAAGACATTACAACAACAGAAAAGTACAGACTAATATCCTTCATGGACATAGAAGTGAAAATCCTTAACATGATATTAGCAAATTAAATCTAATAACATTTTAAAAAATAATAATACATCATGACTAAGTGGTAGGCTTAATATGGAAAAATCAACATACTTCACCATATTAATAGAATTATTGTTGTTGTTAGGTGCTTCAAGTTGATTTCCACTCACAGTGACCAAAACAGAAAAACCATATGATCTTCTTACAATAGATACAGAAAAAGCATTTGACAAAATTTAAGAACTAATCGTGAAAAAAAACAAAAACAGCTCTCAGAAACTAGTAACATAAGAGAATGTCCTTAACTAATAAAAGACATTTACAAAAAACCTAAAATAAACATCATACTTAATGGTGACAGACTGGATGTTTTCCCTTTATGATTGAGAATAAGGTAAGGATGTCTATTCTCACCACTTTTATTCAAGAGTGTATTGGAGTTCCTTACCAGTTCAAAAAGGCAAAAAAAAAAAGAAATAAAAAACACAGATTGTCTTCATTCACAAACACATAATCATCTATGTAGAATATCCTAAGGAACTGACAAAAATGCTACTTGCATTGATAAGTGATTTCGGCAAGGAAGCAGGATGTCTAAGGCTGGGTTCTCCAGAGAAGCAAAACCAGTAAAGTGTATAAACATATATATAGAGAGATTTATATCAAGGAAATGGCCCACGTGGTTATAGAGGCTGGAAGGTGGGTCAGGCTGGAGGCTTCTCCTGATTCACGTAGCTGCAGGAGCTGGCAAACCCAAGATTGGCAAGTCAGACAGCAGGGCTCTGGCTCACAGGCTGTGAAGACCGATGAATTCCAAGATCAGCAGGCAAGACTGCAGGTAAGCTGCTAGCTCAAGTCCCAAGAACTAGAGGTCAGTCAAACAAGAGCCAGCTGCAGGATGGAGAGCAAGCAAAAGGCCGCAAGCCTTTCCAGAAAGTCCACTTACATTCAATGCAGGCCACACCACTAAGGAAACGCTCTTTCAACTGACTGGCTACTCACAGCAGATCCCATCATAGAGATGATCACATTATATCAAATCTCATCATGGGAGTGATCACATCATCATATGACTGCCAAACTACATTATAACTGCCAAACCACTGAGAAGAATGGCCCAGACAAGTTGACACACAACCTTAACGATCACACAGGGTTTAATGTCAATATATAAACATCAATTTTACTTCTATTGCTAGCAACAAACAACTGGAAACAAAATTTATTAAAAAAAAATCTTTACATCAAAAAACGTGAAATACTTAGGAATAAAATTTAACAAAATATGTGCAAGACCTATACTCTGAAAGCTACAACATTGTTAAATTGATGAAAACGTGAATAAATGGAGATGCCATATTCATGGACTGAAACATTCATTAATGTTCACATAATTCTCTCCAAATTGATCTATACTTTCAATAGAATCCCAATAAAAATTTTATAAAGCTTTATAAAAAAAATCAACAAGCTGATTCCACAATTTATATGGAAATACAAAAGATCTAGAATAACCAAAACAATTTTTGAAAAAGAACAAGGTTAGAGGACTTATACTTCTTAATTTCAAGACTTAACTATTTATCAAGCTACAGTTATCAAGACAGTGCGTTAACTGGCATATGGATAGACATACATTAAAAGCTGGCAAACTTTTTCTGTAGGCCAGATAGTAAATATTTTAGGCTTTGTGAGCCACAAAGGTCTCTGTTGCATATTCTTCTCTGCTTTTTTCTTTTTAACAACCCTGAAAAACGTAAAACTCTAAATTCTTAGCTCAAGTGCTATACAAAAAACAGGCCATTGGCGGAATCAGACCCATGGGTCAGAGTTTATTAATGGAGTCCTATATTAGTTATCTAGTGCTGCTATAACAGAAATACAAGTGAATGGCTTTAACTAACAGAAATTTATTCTCTCACAGTCTAGGAAGCTAGAAGTCCAAATTCAGGGCGCTGGCCCTAGGCGAAGGCTTTCTCTCTGTTTGCTCTGGGGGAAATGTAAAATGGTACAACCACTATGGAAAGCGAAATGGCGCCTCCGTAAAAAGCTAGAAATAGAAATACCATACAATCCAGCAATCTCACTCCTAGGAGTATATTCTAGAGAAATAAGAGCCATCACACAAACAGACATGTGCACAGCCATGTTCATTGCCACATTATTCACAATAGCAAAAAATGCAAACAACCTAAATGCCCATCAACAGATGAATGGATAAACATATTATGGTACATACACACAATGGAATACTACATAACGATAAAGAACAATGATGAATTCGCAAAACATCTCACAACACGGATGAATCTGGAGGGCATTACACTGAGTGGAATAAGTCAATCACAAAAGGACAAATATTGTATGAGACCACTATTATAAAAACCCAAGAAAAGGTTTACACATGGAAAAAAAAAATCTTTGATGATTACAAGGGGTGGGGGGTGGGGGCAGGGAGAGGAAATCACTAACTAGATAGTAGATAAGTGGTAAACTTTGGTGAAGGGAAAGATAACACACAATATAGGCGAAATCAGCACAACTTGACCAAGACAAAGACATAGAAGCTTCCTAGACATATCCAAACACCTTGAGGGACTGAGTTACTGGGGCTGAGGGCTGGGAACCATCGTCTCGCGGGGTATCTAGGTCAACTGGTATAACACAGTTTATAAAGAAAATTTTCTGCATCCGACTTTTTTTTGGTGCTTCAGGTGAAAGATTACAGTGCAAATTAGTTTCTCATTAAACAATAATACACAAATTGTTTTGCAACAGTGACTGTCAACCCTGCGATATGTCAAAACTCTCCCCTTCTCGACCTCGGGTTCCCCATTTCCATTCGTCCAGTTTTCCTGTCCCTTCCTGCCTTCTCATCTTTGCTTTTGGGCTGGTGTGCCCATTTAGTTATATACATAGTGGAACTACGTGTGTTATTGTTTGGTGAGTAGCGTATGAGGTCTTAAAAGCTTGTGAGCGGCCATCTAAGATATATCTACTGGTCCCATCCTGTCCGGAGCAAAGAATGAAGAAAACCAAAGACACAAGGAAAATATTAGTCCAAAAGACTAAATGACCACATAAATCAGAACCTCCACCAGCCTGAGCACAGAAGAACTAGACAGTGCCCAGCTACCGCTCTGACAGGGATCACAATAGAGGGCCCTGGACAGAGTGGGAGAAAAATGTAGAACAAAATTCAAATTAAAAAAAAAAAAGACCAAACTTACTGGTCTGACAGAGACTGGAGGAACTCCCGAGACTATTGCCCCCAGACACCCTGCTAACTCAGAAGTGAAGACACTCCCAAAGTCCACCTTTCAACCATAGACTAGACAGGCCTATAAAACAAACAATAATACACGTGAGGAACGTGCTTCTTAGTTCAAAAAGTATGTGAGATCAAATGGGCAACACCTGCCCAAAAGTAAAGACGAGAAGGCAGGAAGGGCAGAAAAACTGGAAGAACAGACACAGGGAACCTGGGGTGGAAAGGGAAAGGGGGAAAGTGCTGACACATTACAGGGATTGCAACCAGTGTCACAAAACAATTTGTGTATGAATTTTTGAATGAGAAACTAATCTGCACTGTAAACTTTTCACCTAAAGCACAATAAAATAAAATAAAATAAAAAATAAAGAGGACAGTGAGATGTTTATGTTTAAGGTGACTATAAAATGAAGTCATTCTTAAAATAAATTTATCTGAACTTGTACGTCAAATATCTGAGAGTCATTTGAAAGTAATCATCGTGAGAAGACTGAAAAGTTTTGGACGTTTTCTTATGAAACTGCTTCCACAACTTTTTACTACTCTTTCAAATATCTTCAATAGTGGCAAATATTCACCTTTTGAGGATAATTTCTATTTTGGAAACAGTCTGGTCATTTGGAATCAAGTCTAATAAATCAGAAATAATGAAATAATGTTTAGTACTTGAAAGCACAGCTTTGCAATATGATAGTCCTATATTTGAGTCAGAGTTCTACCACCCTAACCTCTACCAAATTATTTAAATTCTCTGGGCCCTAGTTCCCTCATCTGAAAAGAAAAATACTGTCTATTTCACAGCTGTTGTGAAGACTGAATGGAATATTGTGTGTGTATGCATGTACTATATACATATATACATAGTTACATACATAATACATATGTGTATATATAACATACAGACATGATAATAAATGTTAGTTTTCCTTTCTTCTTCAGTTATTTTTATCATTATTTCAAACTGTGAACCACATATTGATAAATTTGTCACCGATAAACTTTAGAAAAGCAAGTGATTTTTCAGTTTCTACATGTTTCAGCTGTCATTTTTTGCTCTAAATTATATGAAACAGTATTTTAAGTAGAAATCAACGGACAACTTACCTGTGGAAACCATCTTTCAAAACTTCTTGGCTCAAAGTAATTTCTGAACAAGTGGCCCTTACGCCTAAGAAAACCAAAAAAAAAACAAATTTTGAATAAGATAAGCACTTAATGAAAAAATATTTAAATCAGTAGAAAAGCTTTAAATACCTAAATAATTAATAGGCTTTACTACCCTGGAAAACCTAACCAGCCTAAAAACAAACCTTTTAAAACTTAAGTAATTTGCACTACATATAAATCCGCTTCCAGTATAGCAGAGTGGTTAAGAACATTAGCTCAGGTTAGACTGCCTGGTTCAAACCCCAGTTTGTCACTTAACAGCTGCATGACTTTGGGCAAGATACTTTATCTCTCTTTAAATTGTCATGAGGATTAATACAGGTAGAAGTACTTAGAACAGGGCCTACAACATAGTAAGTGCTCTGTATAAGTTGTTTGCTCTTAATATCACTTTATTCAGGACCACAGGGCACTGCAACGAACAGAATGACTAAAGAGCTAGGGAATCTGTTTTAATCCTAGCTCACCGACAGTGTATCAGATACATACTGGCAATTTCTGTATTCTGCCACCCATAGCTGGGAAGACATATATTTATGCCTTGTGGGGATGCTGGGGGAGTTAAAAAAAGAAAAAGGAAAAAAAATCTGGAGGCACACAAAGGTTCAAAGGGTTCCTATTTAAAGCTGGAATAACCAGAAATCTCACTATATTGACTTCAGGCAGAATTCAGACATTAAAACCATTACTCAATGTCAGCATTATAAAACAAAAAATTCAGTTACTGCTAACCACCAACTCTGCTAGGCACCTTGCTATGGAACTGAATCCCATTTTCAAAAGCTGGGTGTGTGTGGGAAGAACACTAAAACAAACACACAGAAAACCATGTATTATTGTTGTGTGCTGCTGAAGCCATTAGATGTATTCCAGTTCACGGAAAAAAAATGATGTAGAGGTAAAAATATTTGAAATATACAGGGAAGGAAGGACAAACAAAGGCAAAAATAACATTTGTCAAATAATATCTATATACCTGATCCTGTACCTGATGTTTCCACATATGTTTTCTTCTACATTTCACAAAACCTAGCAAAATAAGCAGGCAAAATTACTGCCATTTGTACACAGGAGAAATTCTGACTTATAAACGGTTAGAAACTGGCTCTGGGTCACTAAGGGACTGATTGGAGCCAAGGTTTGTCTGACTTTTAAAGCTTTTTCCACTCTACCTACTTCTTTGCCTTTGAGAAGCATATAATCTTTTCCTAAATAAATAACTTATCTATCTCTTGTACAAAACAAGATTTTTCTTCATCATGTTTAATTTTAATGAAGGTGACTTTAACGAAGGTGAAGACTATATCTACCTATAAATTAGATTAGCAAAAAAAAAGTCAGACTAATAGGCTTAGACTGTATTGGGATGTACGCTAGAGTAGTAAATTACATCCACCAGGAGACAGTCGAAAGGCTAATTTACAAACAGTACAGCAAACACTAATTACATTTTTTAAAATTATTATTATTGTACTTTAGATGGTTTACAGAACTAGCTTCTCATTAAACAATTAGTACACATATTATTTTGTGACATTGGTTACCAACCCCACAACGTGTCAATACTCTCCCGTGTTGACCTTGGGTTCCCTATAACCAGCTTTCCTGTTCCCTACTGCCTTCTAGTTCTTGCCCCTGGGCTGGTGTGCCCCTTGAGTCTCATTTTATGGGCGTATCTAATCTTTGAATGAAGGGTGAACCTTCATTACTGAGCTAAAAGGGTGTCCGGGGGCCATACCCTTGGGGTTTCCTCAGTCTCTGTAAGGCCAGTAAGTCTGATCTTTTTTTGTGAGTTAGAATTTTGTTCTACATTTTTCTCCAGCTCTGTCCGGGACCCTCTATTGTGATCCCTGTCAGAGCAGTTGGTGGTGGTAGCCGGGCACCATCTAGTTGTGCTGGACTCAGTCTGGTGGAGGCCGTGGTAGTTGTGGTCCATTAGTGCTATTTGTCATTTTTTAAAATCAAAAGTTCCATTTTCAAAACAAATTTGCATCTGAATTCATCTTTAAGATTCGTCCTCTTAAGTATTACTTTATTTGGTTGCAGTGGCCTGAAGCAGCTTTGGAAATTGACCCTTTCTTAGTCATAAAATGCCAGTGCTGGAGGAGTCTTTAGAGATCACCAAGTCCGGTTACGTAAAAAATTGTGATTTTTTTTAAAGCCTTTTCTCAAATAAATTTGTAAATCTAATATGTAAAACACGAGTTCCTGGGTGGCCCAAACGGTTAGGGGCTGGACTACTAACTGAAAGGCAGGAGGTTCAAATCTACCCGGAGGTGCCTCAGAAGTAAGGCTTGGTTGGCTTTCTGCTTCCGAAAAGTCACAACCTGGAAAACCTTACGGAGCAGTTGTCTTCTCGGCACATGGCGTCGCCAAGAGTAGAAATTACTCAACCGGCAACTAACAACAATATGTAAAAATACACAAAACCAGAGCTGCACTGCTTGGCAAATACTAGTATGTGCTGACTTCCCTTCGCCTGTCAAACGCCGAGGAGCCCTGCTGGCGCAGTGGTTACTGCTAACCGAAAGGTCAGCGGTTCGAACCCCCCAGCAGCTCTGTGTAAGAGAGCGGTGGCAGTCTGCTTCCATAAGGGCAGTTGTACTCTGTCCAACAGGGTGACTATCATTCACGGCTGTACTTCTTCTGTATGACAGTCCCCGCCAGTCCCGTCTCAGAAAAACAAAGCCCGGCTCTCCAAAGACCCAGGCGCCGACAGAGCAATGAGTACGAGGAGAGCAAGGCACGCGACCTTTTTTCCGTTTTTTTTTTTTGTTTTTTTTTTTACCTCCTCCAGCCCACCCTACAGTTCTGGGGTCCCATGCCGGGTTGCACAGAAGCACCTTTGCAAACCAAGAAGCGGAGAGGGCTCCCTGCGGACTGTTCCCTATCCTTCCGCCCTCAAACCCCGCCTGTACTGCTGCAGTCCCCGCCCTCCCTTTACCGGCGTCGGAGGCCGAGGCGGGCGTGCAGGTCAACCCAGGCGCCACCCAGAGGAGTACCCAGGCCACCGCCTGGACAGCCACGGCACCGGCAGCCAGGACGCCCAAGGGCGGGCGCCCGAGAGGGGCAGGCAAGGACGAAACGCAGACGGAGGAAGCACGCGTCTCACGTCGCCCCGAGAGCGCGATGCCACGGAGGTAGTGACCCGGACAGAGGGCTCAATGCTAGCGCAATGCGGTCCCGCAGTTCTCCGACTCCCTGCAACCCCGAACCCCAGAAGTTCCGGCGCGGCTTGAGGCAGGCGGTCCGGCCCACTCATTCGCTCCCCTTGTCGCCCCACCCTTCGCCCAAGGGCGAGGGGCGGGGCCAAGAGCGGCGCAAGCGCGGTGACGTACACCCAGGGCTGTTGCTGTGGAAACCACTGAGCCTGCACGGGGCGGGGCTGTCTGGAAGTCGGCTTGCTCGGCTCACCGCTTGGACTTCCACTTCAGGTATTTGCGCTTTCCGGCCTTCTACAATCACCTCTGCGGGGCCGTGGCCATCGCCTCTTCCCGCAGCACCAAGCTCCGCCCGGCCTCAGTGCCGGGTTAAGGAAGGGCTCCTTCGTGCCCTGCAGTTGGGTGGAAACAACCCCCTCATGGTTGTAGACGTTGGCCTGCAGGAGATGCACTTTCTGTACTTCTTTCAGGGTAAGGAAGTCAGCCTTGCGCTAGTGGGGATCGTGGAGGAGGAAAGCCCCTGAGTAGTTAAAGGATCGTCCACCCACAGAGGGGCTCCATTGGCAAAATCCAGACACTTCTAGGTGTTGTGGGGGATGCTCAGCAAGATTATGGCAGTCCCTGATCTTTGGGAAGAAAAATATTTAATATCCAGCAAGAATAGTTAAGTAACTGTGTCGTCCGTCTCCATGAATTGAATTGAATCTGTAAGCAGGCCTAGAGAGAATCCAGTACAGATTGGAAAATAGCAGAGTAGGCATATTATGAAGAAATATGGTAATAAATTTTGGGAGAAACGCCTAAAAGAATTGAAACTCGTTGCCTATGGGGAGAGGCAGGGCAAGGGAGAGTAGTTTTTTGTTATAAGCCTCACAGAATCATTTCACATTTTAGACAAAGTGCAACTATTACTTTAGTAAGAATAAAAGTTAAATTTTAAAAAATCTGTAGCAAAAAAAAAAACAAAAAACCCTGCACTATTGAGCATGTATTGTATATCACATTCATGAGTACAGCCATTTGCTTAAGTGTCTGGAGTTTATATTGTTTCTCCTAGAAAGTTTATTAACAAACCAAATCTTAGTGAGGTGAACTGGGAGTAGTATTCGTTAAAAAAAAAAAAAAAAAAAAGGGGGGGAGTGGGTGGGTGGGATCATTGCGTTAGATCAGAAACAGAGCCCAGTATTTTGGAAAAGCAAATTTACCGAGAGTGAAAATTCCCATGTCCTGTGGTACATTTGAGGAGCCCTGGTGGCACAGTGGTTAAGCGCTTGGCTGCTAACTGAAAGATTGGCAGTTCAAACCCACTAGCCCTGTGCAGGAGAAAGATGTGACAGGCAGCTTCCATAAAGATTTACAGCCTCGGAAACCCTATGAGGCAGTTCCACTCTCCTGGAGGGTCACTGTGAGTCGGAATCGACTCAAGGACAACAGGTCAGGTTTATGGTACATGTACAGAGTCCCTGGGTGGTGCAGATACCTAACGCACTCTGCTGCTAACCAAAGGGTTGGAGGTTCAAGCCCGCCCAGAGGCTCCTTGGAAGATAGGCCTGGCTATCTGCTTCTGAAAGATCACAGCCTTGAAAACCCTATAGAGCACAGTTCTGCTCTGCACACTTGGGGTCACTGTGAGTCTAAATCGACTTGACTGCAATGACAACAACAACATGTACATCTGATGCGTCCCTTGGTTGCTCAAGTGGTTCAGATGCTTAACGCTCTCTGCTAACTGAAAGGTTGGAGGTTTGAGTCCACCTAGAGGTGATCTAGTTCTGAAAAATCAGCCATTGAAAACCCTCTGGAGCACGGTTCTACTCTGACATCCATGGGATCACTATGAGTTGGAACTGACTTGATGGCAGCTGGTACTGTTTTTGTAATGTATAAGACAGAGAGAGCCCTGGTGGCACAGTATTTAAGAGCTCAGCTGCTAACCAAAAGACTGGCAGTTCGAATCCACCAGCCACTCCTTGGAAACCCTTTGGAGCAGTTCTGTTGTGTGCTATAGGGTCACTATGAGTCGGAACTGACTCGACGGCACCTAACAACAGCAACATAAGACAAAACACTTGTTTTTGTTATTATGTGCCATCAAGTTGATTCCAACTCACAGCAAACCTATAGAACAGAATAGAAAGTGCCTCATAGGGTTTCCTAGGCTGTAATCTTTATGGGAGCAGAACTCCAGGTCTTTTCTTCTGCAGAACTGCTGGTGGGTTCAAACTGCTGACCTTTCAGTTAGCAGCCGAGCACTTAACCATTGCACCAGCAGGACTCCTTGGATAAAACATTACACAGTCATGTAAAAAAATTGCATTTTAGTAAAATATTTAATGACAAGAAAATAATCACATAGATAGTTTAATTTAAAAGGCAGTAAATAGCATATATAATATATAAAAAAAACCAGTTAAAAAAATGAAACTATATGTCTAAATGAAAGACTGGAAGGAATTAAGGGTGATTATTTTATATGTTTCCTCCCCCCCCCCACCCAGTTTTCTATAATGAACTTATGTGAATTATTGTTATTTAAGTATTTCTTAAAATCATGTTCCTATAGTGATTCTCTAACAGAACTGAGTTTATGAAGATATCAACATCCTATGCCACTTCCCCTTGAAGTGTCTTGACATTTGCAAATCTTCCTGAGAATATCGTAGTCACATCAAAAGCAGTCCCAGTAATTAAGTGTATTCTGGTATTGAGAAAAGAGGGAATTGAAAGTATTAACCTGTAAAAGCTGTGCTTCTTCTGAACTGAGAAAGTAACCTATAGTGAGACAAATAAGCTGAAATCAAATCAAAACATTATTGTCTCATGTATGTAGAGGCCAGTTCCGAACCAGGTCTGCCTTTTCGATCAGGCTTACTGACTGTAAACATTTAGAGGATGTACAGGAGCTAGGTCTTATATTAGTACATTGAATTAAACAGGTACATATGGAGTGTCTACTGTGTTCAGGTATTGTGCTGGGATATAGTGGTGAACAATGGATATAGTCCCTGCCTTCATGGAATTTATAGACTAGAAGGGAAGACAGATGATTAAATAAGTAATCACAAAAAACACTTGGTGAATAAAATGATTGGGAAAAAACGAAGGAGACAGATCTAGTCTGGTGAACCTGTAAGGACAAAATGTTTAAGGTGACCACTCACAGTACCTTGATGGAGAAGGTGCTTGGTACGTACTTGCTAATCAGTAAATAAAAAAGACCCTTGGGGTCAGTTTTTAGGCTGACTCAAGGGTTCAGATACAATCTCTGGTAAGACTGCAGTACACTAAGAGGTGCAAACTGAATTGCATTCCCAGGTCACTTGTGAACAAACCTACATCCTTCAATGAACCAGAGATTCTTTTTTTTTTTTTTCTTAATTTTTTTTATTGTACTTTAGATGAAGGTTTACAAAAAAAATAGTTTCTCATTAAACAGTTAGTACACATATTGTTTTATGACATTGGTTAACAACCCCATGACATGTCAACACTCTCCCTTCTCGACCTTGGGTTCCCTGTTACCAGCTTTCCTGTCCCCTACTGCCTTCTAGTCCTTGTCCCTGGGCTGTTGTGCCCCATTAGTCTCATTTTGTTTTATGGGCCTGTCAAATCCTTGGCTGAAGAGTGAACCGCAGGAGTGACTTCATTATCGAGCTAGAAGGGTGTCCGGGCGCCATACTCTCAGGGTTTCTCCAGTCTTTGTCAGGCCAATAAGTCTGGTCCTTTTTTCTGAGTTAGAATTTTGTTCTACATTTTTCTCCAGCTCTGTCCAGGACCCTCGAACCAGAGATTCTTAAGGATCCAACAGACTGAAGATAATCCAGGCCAAAATGAACTTTCAGGGCAGCCCCAGAAGTACCAAGCTTCATAGGCTGAGCACACATGTCTACAACTGGGCTAAAGCCAGTACTGCAGGGAACAAAGTGGGGAGGGGCAGGGTGTCAGCTTTATCCAGTGCCTGGTTGAGCTGAAATTGAATCTTTTTTCCTTTTAGCAGGAAGTCATTATGTGACTAACACATTTTCATCAGATTTCCTCTGAAGTGTATGTAGAAATGATGTGTACTGCCAAGAAATGTGGAATTAGATTCCAGCCACCAGCTATTATCTTAATCTATGAGGGTGAAGTCAAGGGAAAAAGTCGCCAGCGTATCATGCCAGTTCGAAACTTTTCAAAGTTTTCAGGTATCCTGTGTTTTATCTTGCCTCCTGTCTTAAATATTCTCTAAATCACTTAATAAAAACAATTGGAGTCTCATGCAGTGAAGTGACATGTACTTCAAATTAGACCTAGGTTCATTCACACATTACTCTACCAAGGACTAGATGTATGACCGTTGCTAAATTGCTTACTGTCAGTGCGCTTCAGTTTCATAGCCCTTTGAAGACCCAATTATTTTCTGCTTTGAATTTTTTGTTGATGCCATATGTTTTCATTAATAGAAGTATGCTGAATCAATGAATGTTGTTGAACTTTTGGTAGGTAATGTGGATTCCGCCCCCCCCCCCCAACAATCCTACCCTCAGTCTTGAGGACATATGTTGTCCCACCGATTCTACCGCACACGCCCCCTACAGTCCAGGGGGGCATACAGTGACCCAAAGAAAAATCTTCAGTATTTCTCTTTCTCCTACCAAAAATGCACACATCTCAGACAACACCCTGTAGAAACAGTAATTTGCAGCACACGCCTGTTTAGTTTCAAACGGTCATAAAGGTTCCTGCCTTGCAGCAGCATTCACTGTCAGTGGGAAAGCAGCTTCCCAGTGAACCTGGGAGGTGGAAAAAGTGCATGGGCAACCGTGTATCCCAACTGTCATGAAAGGGCTAGTCTATAAAAGGGAGCTGATAGTTCCACCCTCTCAGGATTGTTGTGTGGGTTAAATGAAATAACAGTATTTAATAATATTAATTCCTTCTTGCCCTTCAAATTTTTTATTTATAGTCTTCATATTCTATTAGTACCGGCACTACTGCCTAAAAGCTGTAATATCATTTTTTTCTTCTCATTTTCTCCAATTGAAAGTGTTTACCATCTCCACAAAGTGATTTTAAATTGAGGAAATCAAACACACATCCCTCCCTTCCCCACCCAATTCAAAGCTCAGTATAAAGGAATAGTTCTACACTATAATTCATTGCAATAAAGCCTTTTAGCTGCTGGGCTGTAATGGCAGATGATGCCTTCAGGAGTCTGAGTTTTCGTTCTGTGTTGCAGTAGTCTGTGGCCCATCAACAGTTCGTGGTGTATATGGTGTTTGGAGTATATAGTTGTTTTTTTCTCCCTCCTAGACTGTAGCAGAGCCGCTGAGCAACTAAAGAATAATCCACGACACAAGAGTTACCTGGAACAAGTGTCTCTGAGGCAGCTAGAGAAGTTATTCAGTTTTTTACGAGGTTACTTACAGGGGCAGAGTTTGGCAGAAACGATGGAACAGATTCAACGGGAAAGAACCATTGATCCTGAGGAAGACCTGAACAAACTAGATGACAAGGAGCTTGCTAAAAGGAAGAGCATCATGGATGAACTTTTTGAGAAAAATCAGAAGAAGAAGGATGATCCAAATTTTGTTTATGACATTGAAGTTGAGTTCCCACAGGATGAACAACTACAGTCCTGTGGCTGGGACACAGAGTCCGCCGATGAGTTCTGATACTAAACCCTCACAGAATTTACTGGGTTGGCAGAAACTCCATGTTTTTAGAAAGGACGTAGGTTGGTTATAGCAAAATCTGTAAAGAACACTAAATGCACATGTTGGGTCATAATTGGACTGACCATGTTAACTTTTCAAAACCAGGACATGTGGAGCATCTACTATGTAGATGCATGAGGAAGATAGGAAAAACAGAGTATAGGGATCTGTCTTTAAAGAGCCTGCATCTAATTGGAAGATAAGTCAAAAACTTGTGAAAAGTTAATTAACAATAGCAGGCAACAAAAAGATTAGAGCTGAGTGCTTGATAAAGACAGTTATATGCCAAAGATGGTCAGAGTCTAGATCACTATTGGATAGTCAGGGAAGGCTCTGTCCTTTAGTGGGAGAGATGGGACTTTGCCTGGCACTGGAAATGGTAGTATATGGGTAGAAGCCTGTATAGGATTCCAGATGAAAGAAACTAGAAAAAGGAGGGAGGGACGATGGTAAAGAAACAGAACATTGAAAGTTTTATTTGTGGAACAGGAGGCAAATTACAGTTTGACAAGATTGGAGGGCATATGTGGTTATCAGGGAATTATCCTGTAAGCATTATGTTTTTATAAGTATTTAACTTGTTTTATATGCATTCGCTCCGGAGTAAAGAGTACCATTGCAAAATGCCCTGCAGCTGCAAGTAGATGTCATTTGATGGGTGACAGGGGATCTGCCCCATTAGGTATCAGGGAATATATACTAAAGATATTCTGAAACCCTGAACCTCTTCCCATAAACAAGAAGTTTGTTCTGTAAAATGGGAAATCTACCCATGTTAAATGAACAACAGGTACTGCCAGTTTAGAACTATTCATGAGTGTGGATCTACAAAGAGAGATCCTTGTTAAACCTTTGCTTAATCAGGTTATCAATACACAGATACATCTTTCATCTTACTAGAATATTATTTAGTTGGTAGAAATCTTATGTTCTTTGCAAGGAAATTAATAGTTAGTAAGTAAAACTGTTAAAATAATTATTTACTCTTTCTACCTGTCCATCCCCACTCTCTTTACCATGAAAAGCCCCATTAAAGGAGTCATAGTGAGGTCACTAGGGACTTAAGATGGTCAAATTTCAAATGTATATTTGCCAAAGTAGCAAAAGAATTTTTAGAATTAGAGTCTTCCGTGTCTATATAGTACTCCATTGTATAGATGTAGATAATTTATTTTAAAAGTTGACCTTAATTGTTTCCCCCTTTCACTACTACAAGCAATACTACAGCAAATATCCTTGTACATTCTTTGTTTTGCACACAGGCAAGAATATTTATAGGATAAATGCCTAGCAGGAATTACTGAGTCAGGCTATGTGCATTTTAAGTTGTAATAGCTATTGCTTAGTTGTCCTCCATAGAGATTTGTTCATTCATTCAGGTATGTATGTACTGAGTACTGCACATAAGCTGTACTATTCTAGGGTCTAGGGATATAGCAGTATATACAACAAATGCCTTGTCTTTACCGCATTTACAGACTAGTTGGAGGGAAGAGACAATAAACATAAATACATAGAATAGGGTCAGATGTTAAGTGCTTTCAAGAAAAGTCAAGGTAAAAAAATAATAATAGAGGAGGTGGGAACCACTGTTTTAGATAGTGATCAGAGAAGGCTTCACTGAGGAGGTAACATTTGAACAACAACCTGAAGGAGGTAAAGGAAAAATTGATATGCATTTCAGGGGTGGTGGGGAAAGACAAGTGATAGGCTCTTGGGCTGGAGTGTGCTTGGAGTGTTTGAGGAAGAACAGGCAGGCCAATGTGGCTAATACAGATTGAGCAAGGGAGAAAATGGTAGAAGATGAGGTTGGAGTGGATTTTGCAAATGCATAGTGCTTACCATGAAGGTTGTACCAGCTTAAACTATCAGCAGTTCATGAGAGTACCTGTTTTTCCCATGCGCTTATCAACAGAGGGTGTTGTCAAAGGTATTGATGTTTGCCAGTCTTATAATTTACAAATGGTATCTCAGTTTGATTTGCACTTCTTTTATTATGGGTGAAACTGAGTAGGCAGTCCTGTCGAGTTTCAGCTCTCACAGGTTTCACTGTAATGTGTGCTGAATAAACATATAATGGCTAACAACAACAACAAAGGGCCAATTTTATGGTATATATTGAGGTATATAAGTTGTTCCTCAATAACGCTGTTAGGGAATAGAATAGGATCAATGTCTGCAAACCATTTGTTCTAAGAATGAGCAAGAGGGGCCAAGATATGTGTAAACATCTCCTCGAGCCCGCATAGAGTTGGAGATTGAAAAAGGTTGGAGGACAGAATTAATGCATTCATTCAATAAACACTTTTCTAGTATTTACTCTTTGGAAGCTTCCCAGGAGGTCTGGAAAGGAATGGCTCTAAAGAAAAGGAAAGAACAAGAGAAGACTGATTATGATGCCGGGACAGAGTGAGGTTTATGATTCCAATATTCTCCTTAATGGATGAGGGAGAGTCATCTGATGAGAGTGAGACTGGGGAGGAAAGAGGGAACTTAGGATGAAAATGGGAGGTGTGCAGAAGGGTCTTTGTAAAGGTGAGGCTGGATGTGCTCAACATAGATGGAGAGAGTAGAATGTGAGATCAAACAAAAATCTAAAATCCCAGGGTTACATACTAAAAAGGCTCTCCTTCACTTCACCACCTCTCCTCCCAAAAACAAACAAAAGTACTTCCCTTCGTCAGGTTTACAAGAGAGTGCTAATAGTGGAATTAATGATCAACCTTCAAGCTCAAAAATTTTATGGCTACACGGTCTTTCTATTTCAGTCACCATTTCACATCATAGCAGATATTGATTATCTACCCAACATCCTTTTCCTCCCTTCGTTGCTGATAGAGGCCCAGTTTTGATTGTTTGAGTCTAACCCCTCCTACACAAGTGTCAATTCCAGAGGCAAATTCTGATTGGTTTAAATCAACCCCAGTGGTCTCATTTGTTAGAGATGGGCATGTTACCCAGTTCTGGCCAAGGAGACGTAAAGAGGGTCTGCAAGGACTTGGAAAGGTTTCCTCACTAGCTCTGGACCTGGTTGTGTCTGAATGTGACACCTGGAAGTCCCATAGCCATTTTGTGGCCAGCCTGAGGATGACACCAATCATTAATTAGAGCAAACAAAGAGAGTCACATATACACTATACCTGGAGCCTGCCCTAGCTTTGGACATTTTGTTATATGAAATAATAAATTTCCTCTTTGTTTAAACCAATATAAATTGGTGTTTTTCTGTTTCTAGCAGCCCACACCTCTTAACTGTTAACAAAGGAGCAAGCCTCTTTCATTGGCCTCTTCCATTTCTGGATCCAATAGGGACCATCCATGTCTCAGAGACTTCTGGGAAGAGATTGATACAGTGGTCAGAACAAAGTATGAGGGAGAGAGGAAGACCAGGGAGCTGGCAAGGGCAGCAGGAAGCAATGGACCTTGGAACCTAAGGCTGAATTGTGTCCTGTGGATCCAGAGGAAGCTGAATAAAATGGGAGGGGCTGAGTAAAAGTACCAGGAAAGGTGGCACCAGGGCAAATCTGGCAAGTTGTGGCAAATAAGCTTGGGAGAAAATATATAAAGAAACTGCATCAGAGAAGAGGGAAGAAACATATAAAGTCTTAACCCAGAATGCTGAGTTAGATTCCAGAAGTTTAGCAAGTTCTGGTGGTGATGAGAGCTGGCATCTGACTGATAGGGAAGTCCGTAAAATCAAAGTTCTGGAGTTATAAAATCAAGGAGTCTGAAGGCGCAATAGCACAGATGCTGAAAAATACTGAGAACACGGATAAGGAGTAAACAGAAGAAAATCAGCCAGATCCTAAAGTCATTTGGGTAGGTATAAAAAGCTTGCGGTCTGGGCAACTATCAATAATTTGAAGAAGACAATGTAAAAGGATGGAGTTATTAGTAGATGTTTGAAAAAGGAAAACAAAAAGTGGAGGGAGAGAAAAGGTTAGAAGGATTTGATTAGGAAAAAAAAAAAGACATCAAACACTTTTCAACACACACTCCAACAGAAGCATAAAAACTAAACAAAAGATTGGTGGTACATGTTCAAGACAGGGTATTCTTCAAACTGAATGAATGCTTTGTGTTCCTGACTTAAATCTGGATGCCCTAGTGTATGATATGGATCCAGGAACCTTTATTTTCTGGTAAGAAAATTCTTAGGTTAGCAAATTCCATTCGGGCTGCCTTTTTCTCTTCCCTTGACCTTGTTAGAGTAACCATATCTAGCTGGAACATCAAGATTACCACATGCCTCCCTACTTTAAAAAAAAAAATTTAATCAGAGCCCAGCAATCTGCCATCACTATTATCAATTATTTATTGATTCCATTAGCCCACTTCACTGGGTACTACATAATTTCCACATTTTTGCTCAAATGCATTCTGTATTCTCAAGAAACTTAGAGGTATGTTATTTCTGATAATGAACCACAGAAATAGAATGTATCAATTATAAGCCTAATACATCCTCAAAGTCCATTTCATCCCAAACCTTCGATTTCTTTCCTCACTTTACTTCTTTCCCCTCCATTCTCGACCAAACACTCTCTACCCTGAAATTAGAATTATCAACTAGTAAAAAAAGAAGTTTTGAGAGATTCATGTTTTCTCTTTCCTATATCCACTGTTAACTATTTGAGAAGTTTGGAGCCCTAGTGGTGCAGTTGTTAAAGCTCGGCTGCTAGCCAAAAGGTCAGCAGTTCAAATCCACCAGCTGCTTCTTGGACACCCTATGAGGCAGTTCTGCTCTGTCCTATAGGGTCGCTATGAGTTGGAATCGACTGGACAGCAAAAGGTACAAGTAACACTCCAAAACAGGGAAAAGACTGCAAGGAGACAGTAAAGACCTTGAAAAATATATAAACTTGTGTTAAGAAAATTTATCCAAGACTTAGAAATAAAGGCAAAGGATGAGGACCACATGTCTTTTCAATGTCATATTGGAACACTGTTTAAAAGCTTGCCCAAGGATTATTAATTTTCTAGGACAATATACCTGAGTTTGTCTTTGCTGTTTACTATTTGATAAGAGCCCAGACACAGTGCAGTTACCCGTTAACGTGAAGACTTGTGCCCAGCAGAGAAGATAACTATCAAGGTTATAGTTCATTTCTCTAGAGGATGTTGACCACTTGTGTAACCTAGCAATCTTACGCTAACGTGCCTTTCTGAATGCCTGTAAATTCTTAGTTCTTCAAAATATTCTTTTAACCACTTTTACAGTTGTACTAGTCCCCTTCATCAATGAGTTAATAAGTCTTGTCCATGTGTTCATTTTATATTTGCATGAGAATTTCGTTTTTTAACATTTTCAAAATTATACTTTGACACTTGATAGCTCATATGATAAGGAGATTAACATCTTTTTAGCCTTTTGGAGCATGCTTTTTTATCCAACAGAATGACATGTTTTAAACTTTCAACTTTAGAATTTCTACCTATGAGAGGAGCTCAGAATAGGAGGTAGGAAAGAACTGAAAGCTTGAGGCAGAAGAGGAAGAGGCCAAGTTGAGAAGCCAGACAGAAAGAGACAATTACCTTATTAAGGGTCACCCCCCTCAGGGTCCCAGCTGTCCCAAGCAGGAAAGCTGTGTCACGATTTTTGTAACACCACCCTCACCACGGCTCTGGGCAGGCCTACTTTGGCACTGCCAAGTTAATCAGTGGGGCTCCAGAATTTTTATATAAGAGGGGCCCAAGAGCAGCAGTCTGGTTGGAAGAGTTGGAGGTAGGATAGTGGCTAGGAGAATTGCCTTGAATATGTGTAGCAGCACACTGTACATCTTAAAATCTCCCAAGCGACTCCTTGGCTTTACCATTGTAGGCAGCCATAATTTGATCTTAAAGAAATTAGGATGTTAAACTGTCGCTGCTCAAATTAAAAAAAAGAAAAAAACAACCATCAGAGGGCAGCATTTGTTTTTTAATTTATCAAAAGCAAGCTTTGGCTTGGCTCTGGAAGTATGTTAGCAGTGTTTTTTGTATAATTTGAACATTGTACTTACATCCACATCCAGGGTGAGTGCTGGGTGTGAGCCTTGTTCACCCTTTACATTGTTTATAAGTGAACTGTTTAAATGCTAGGTTTTCAGGAGACATTAACTGTGTCATATTTAGATTCATTCTTTATGTATTCATCTTACTATTTTTTTAAGCACTTAATATGTGCCAAGCACTATTCTAGGTAACAGGTACACAGAGGAGAACAAGGCAGACAGGACCCTGTTTTCATGGAGCTCACATATGTAGAGAGGAATAGGTAAACAAGAAAAAAATACACGGTCGCCAAAACTGTACGGATAATTAAAGGACGGTGATGTGGGGTTGATCCTTAACTTAATCAATGTTCCCTCTTGCAGAATCTAAAAAGGAATTCAAGGAAGTACAATTTTTTAAATCCGAATTTATCTTTTTCTAGCTCTGTGTGTCTGTGTGTCTGTGTGTGTGTGTCGATTCATATGCCTGACCTCATTTTCTTCAGTGGGCTGATGAGACGTCAGGGAGAAGGATCCAGGAGGTAGTTTGTCCGCCCTCCCTCCCTCCCTCCCTCACATGGAGCCTTTGAGCCAAGGCTGAGGCTGACCTTCCTTTAGATTCCTTTAGGGCCGCGGGGCTTCAGTGGTTTCTGTGTGGAAGCATTTGCACTCTCCGTCGCCCCTGAGACTGACTCAAACAGACCCCTCAGAGAATAGGGTGCCTTCACCCTTGTCCCTTCCCCTCAGTTTCCTCATTTGTAAAACAGGAATAGTAATACCTGTTCTCACTGGGCTATTGTAAGATTAAATGACACAGTGTATGTGTAGTATTTTGAGTGACTGGACTAAAACCAACAGGACAAAATACTTTGGAGATAAAAGTCCAGCACTTGTATTAAGAAATACCAACTACATGAGTACTGGCTGGGAAAGAATTCACTTAATAGCAATTAATGTGAAACAGATGGAGGGGGTTTAATTGAGGGCAGATTCAATATGAACTCAGTGTGGAGCGGCTGCCAAGGAAACTAATGCAATCCTTCGAGGCACCAAGTGAGGTTTAATGTTCAGAGTAAGGAAAGGATGGTCCCATTATACGCTGCCCTGGCTACCTCCTGTCTGGGGCCATCTCCTCTTCCAGGAGGCTCATTTTAAAAGGCACATTGACAAACCGGAGTATGTCCCACAGAGAGGCAGCACATCACTAGAGAATCCATTGGAGGAATGATGAGGATTTTGCCTGGAAAAGGGACGGTTGCTCTTAACAGACATTTATTTGAAGAGCTTTCATGTGGAAGAATGTGTTAGTACTTCCAGAGGGAAAAGCTAGGTACAGTGGGCAGACGTTTAGGGAGCAGCTCTCACCTCAATTAAAGGAAAGGACTTTCTGAGGATCAAAGCTTCCAGCAATGGGAAGGATTACTTTGCGAAGCAGTGATCTGCCTGTCTCTGGAAGCAACCCAGCAAGGCACTGGATGTCAGGTTAACCAGATCAATGTTTTTCAAACTGCTTTTTATGGAGTGTGTGTAGGGGGTATGTAGATTGCAGGTAATTGCACTGGAGTGATAGAAAGGAAGGGGACTGAGGAGGCGGGGACTGGACTTCTAATTTAACTGGAGCAGCTCAGCTCTTATGTCTAAGTGTTCTCCATTGCAGAGTTCCACTTGAGATATTAAGGGTTTTGCTGCTAAATTCAGATTTTGAAAACCACTGGAGGTGATGGTTTTTCACTAATTCAGGCGGTGACACCACAGCCCACTGTTATCCCACGACTGGCAGAGAGCACGCTGGAGCTGACACCAGATAAGTCTCAGCTTTGACCAGGCTCACTCGATTCTGGAGCTTTCTAAATGTCCCCCTCCCTCTCCTGGGGTAAGTTCTTTTTTTAAAAAGGCAGTCTTTCAATCTTGTGGTAAGTAGCCCAGGAGTCTGTAAGGCCTGACAATTTGCTGGAATACTTGGCAGTCACCCTTCAGCCTTCCTCACGTGTCTCCTTCCCCCATGCCTCCTCCCTCAGGCCTGCCTCCTATCCTGCTTCCGCCATCAGTCTCCACTCTGGCAGACAAGGCTTGCCCCTCCATCAAGTAGGGAGAGAAATCCTGTGGTCCGGTTTCTCTCAGAACTCTAGCCCTGGACAACTCTACTTCTTTTGCCCCCAGCAGCCTCTCCAGAAGACATATGACCCAAGCTTAGACCCTTGGAGGGGACCTTGCCAGGTAGGACAACTCCC